ATAATAATAATAATAATAATAATAATAATAATAATAATAATAATAATAATAATAATAATAAAAGCTCACAAAAGTCAGGCACGAATTGACCCATCCATTTCGGGCGTCTGCAGATTTACCGGTAAATTACATGTTAAATTACATAGGCTAATATGCATAGGTCAATCTCGGTCGCGAGTTTCACCGTGCCCTGTATGCATGCCGGACCGCGTCATCACCTCGAAAGGAAGCTTCTTGTCAGTGCGTCCGAAGACGGCGCGATCCTGCGCAACATCGCGTTACACCGTGGGATGCGCCCGGTGCCCGTCTATCCCGCGCTCTCCCTGGACGACTATCGCATGTTATCTCTGGCGCGAGACCATCGATTCGGCTTCACTCGTGCGAGGCTCTGCTGTGTCGAGGTCATGCAGAATGTCCCAGAAAATATACAGGTAGATAGCGTTCATTATTGCGATACAGTGTACGGCGCACTACGAAAATTGAGCGAGCGACAGACCGTGGAGCGCAGCGCTAGTCAACGTGCGCTATAAACATAAACGAAGCAGGCTCGAGCAAGATAGTGTAGAAGTGTCATTCCGATTCTACGCGGTTTGAAGACAGGACCGGTAGACGTGAACTGGTCTGGGTGGGGGTAACGGGGTGAATATGTGGATATTGGAATCGTAGTCTGGGACAAGCGGTTTCGCTCCATGTCTGCTACCGTACGTAGGCTACAGTCAAACACTGAATGAGTCCATGCCGCCCGTCCCCAATCAACCAATGAGGAGTCTTGAGGATGTTCGTGCAGGCGATGAGCGTGCGCGAGCGGATGCCTGCGCGGCACGGCGACAGCAGGCGGGATGAAATATAGGCCAGAAGGGCACTCGCGCAAGCAGGGAACCGAGCAGCGTCAAGCGACACACCGACGCGCCTGCGAACAGCGACTGACATCGTGCTCAGAACCGCCCTACATCTTGGTGACTCCGCTGGCCCATCATCAGGTCCTCGTCCGACCGGTCGTCGATCTGCGAGTTGTCGTCTGACACGTAGTACCTCAGCCCGCTGCTCTTCGTCGTCGGCTGCAGCATCGGCGCCCCCGAGTCCTCGGACTGCATGCCGCCCTCGCGGCTGTACAACGTGCTCCCGCGCGGGCTGCCCCCGCCGGGCGTGTAGGCCATGAGCGAGTGCCGTGCCGTCTCCTGCATTAGCAAAATGTTCTGGCGGAACGCGTTCTGTGGGCGCGGGCGTAGCGTGAGTGTTGAGGAAAGGGTGATTGCAAGGGATCGGCTAGCGTACCTGCTCGCGCCAGTACTGGAGACGCTTCTCGCGCTCCGCATCGCGGTCCTTCTTGTGAAAGAAGTACAGCGCGACCAGCGTGCCGACCATGCCTCCGAGAATACAGACCGCGACGACCACGTACACCCATTTCTTCACCTGGACCGGAGTGTCCGTCGTCACGCCGCACGTGCCGTTCGCCAGGCAATTGTACGTGCTGCACTCCTTGTCGGCGTCGCACTGTTCCCCGATCGCTTTAGTCTGTACACAGACCAGTTGCTGCGAGTCGCAGTACAGGCCAACTTTGCAGTTACCCCTGCAAGGGCATGTTCGTTAGCGTCATAAATAGACATGATGTAGAAGGTACCGCAAATAGACTCCAGGGAAGCGCGGAGTTTCAGAGACTGATGGTCACCGCCGCGGGAACCATTCCAAGTCTGTAGGAGCATGACGCTGCGTTCGGGCGTCCAGCGGCAACCGCTACACAAAAGCCAGGACATCTCCTGACAAATAGAGACGCTATTTGCTTCATTGCAATCGAGTGCACCAGTAGACGCAGGCTTATGTCTTGGAAGTATTGCTGCGGCGTTGTCGAGTTCATGCCAGCGCTCTCGCGTCGCCACAAATAGTCCAGGCGCACCACAACTACGATAGGTAAATCGATGGAATACACACCTGGACACGATATCGACAAATTCTCCATCAGGACCGTAGGCGGTATAAGCGGTGTTTTGCACGATGCAGGGAAGGCCGATCGTGACGTTTGCCCACCTACAAGCGAACAGGCGGTCGGTCCCAGTCATAACAGAAGAGCGGACGACAGGACGCACATGCAGATGTTGTTGAGGCAAACCGAGCCGTTCACGTTCAGCCCGAAGCCAGACGTGTCCGCGAGATCCTTGAAGTCGGGCGGTCCCTCGCATTCGTCTTCCGGTCACCAAAGCTCAGCGATGCCGCGTACCAGGTGAATCACTCCGCTAGCACTCACCATCGCGGTTAAATTGGCATGCGCTCCCGACGGGGAGGAGGTTTTGACACTGGTCCTGCTCGTCTGGGCAGAATTGGCCCTTGGGACACTTGTCGGGGACGGTAACGTTGGAGAGGTAGCCGAAGGGGAACTCGTCGTTGCGGCATCCGCGGAGGGCGCAGGTCGAGTTGGATGCACAGAAGGTCATGGCGTCGCAGTCAGTCTGGAACTGGAAGGTGCCCTCCTGGAGCTTCTGATGGGCGGGGTCGCATGGCTGGAGCCATGGGACGTCGCCGGCGCGAACCTGGACAGCGGCGAGAGAGAAAAGGAGCGTAGAGGGTAGCAAGAGCGAGGGCAGCATGGCGGAGGAGGCCGAGCGGGCGGGGCGGGGCCAAGGTCGTTGAGGGAGGGATGAAGGAGAAGAGATGACAGACTGGTCCGCCCAAGCAGACAAGCACATCCACAAGCGCCCGATCACAGCACCCGTCCCGGCGTCGTCGCCATGCGAGCCGCCGCCCAGCTCGCTCTCCGTCTCCCGTCATACCCGTCTGCGGTGCTCAACGGCGGTGACGATAAGAGCACATTTTCTAACCCTATAGCTATCAATTCTGTCTTTTTCCACGCGAATGTCCTCCCATATCCGAGACAATCTGCGCATATATTCAAGTTTCTGGTCGGGAGCGCGATGGTAGCTATGTGGGCGGTGTTGGTGAGTTCGTCTCACAAGAGTTCCGGTTTTGCGCTCATCGCTTTGTGCGGTCATATACGCTGTAGTAGGTATGAAATGAGAAACTACATCGCAACATGAACAAAGCTTCAGGACATTGCCTTAGAACTGGAATACAGTATATCCTTAGGAGAATCTCTGCGTTTCCAGAGAACAACTCGAGTCTGGGTGGCATCAACTACACACGATCCTGTATGACTTTTCCTCCTACCATTCCGTTGCTAAACGTCTATGGACTCTTATCCAATACTTTGTCCTTCCGCTCGCCTGGCCTCCTGGTCGCAATCCAAATGTCATCAGCGGTTGACACCACAACGATGCCGAAAGATGAGCGCGATGGCTGGCATCATCGCATGGCCGGCTGTTATCCTCCACTGCGCTACTAGCTTCGGTTTGCCTATTCTTTTCGTCTCGTGTGCTTTCATCCTTGGCCTCAGACAATCGACTACCTCTAGGACAAGCACTGCGAAGATGGCGCCGGTTCCGACTACGCCTGCTTCTTCGAAGAACACTACTTTCTGGACCCCAACCGTCATTGTGGCGGTTATATCTATCCTCCTCCTGGTTTTTTCGGCCGTCGGCGCGACCGCCTTCTTGATCCACCTTCGCTACCGTCCCCGCATCCGAACGCGCTCGAACGCCCAGGCTCAAGATATCCCCGAGGACGTTCCTGAAGATAAAGTTCAAGGCGAACATGCCGCTCATCTTGACACCAACCCATCCGCCATATGGTCTGGTTTGATGCCTTCGACTCGCTCTCGGCCGACGTCTGGGTCCAGGCCTCCTGAGCCCGAGTTTCCCTGGCCTGTACTCGCTGTGCTCCCGGCACTCCGCCCCAAGGAACCCATCCACGCACGGCTCAAGAAAACTATGTTGTGGTGGGAAAAAGACGAAGTCAAGGTGCGCGTCTCCTCTACCGGTTCTGGCCTCATCCTGATATATGCGCCCTAGCATGAGCCATTTACCGTCGCCGACGTCATGAGAGCGATCGAAGAGGTGAGTGGGCACACGGAAGGCGTCCCTCAGCCAGATTCCGCGAACAAGTTGGAGGGAGCATCTCCTGCTTTCTATCAGGACATGCCTGAAATCGTCGTCCATCCGTGCGATGGCACGCCGTCTTTCTCTCCAGCTGAAGACGACTCGAGTCTGGCCATCACCTCTGCGTCTCTGCCGACCAATGAGATAGACGTATCAGATATGTCTATCGCCACCATGCCCTTGACGAGCCCTACAGATGGCTCGTACTCTGAGCCCGGAACTCCCCTCGTCGCGACGCCTCTCGAGGAATCCTTTTCGCTGCCGTCCGTCGCATTCACGAAGTCTCTCCGGGTTCCGATCGACTCAATCACCGCTCCTCACGAGAGTATCGCCGTCAACTTCTCCAACTTCTCCGGGCAGAAATTCGTATTGTCTGCCCCACCTTCGACGCGATTCTTCCCTGGCCGCAGCAAACGTTCCAACGTCGGCCCACCAATCGGCCTCGGCCTCTTGTCTCCGAGAGCTCTAGGGACGACGGGTTTAGGACTGCTACCCGCACTCAAAGAAATCTCCGAGGACGACGAGACTGGTTCCTGCGAGCACCCCTACTCAGCATTCCGCTCTGATAGCTCCGTGGCTGACCTCGTCCCAGCCCTCGAATATATCGTTACTAACACCGTCAAATCCGTCCCCTCGGGGTCCACTCACGCCCAGATCGTGCCGTCCCACAGTACGTCTTCATCGGATATCAGCGCTGTCGATGCTTCCGGTTGCGCCTCGCAGTCGTCGTCGTATTCTCGGTCGACGTGGGACAGCAACGATCCCCTGAGCGAGCGGCTGACGCGCCTGGTCAGAGCGTTCGCCACCCCCACCCCTCCGGGTGGCGAGGAGAGCGACGAGGAAGCCGAACAGGCTTTCAGGGACACGTCCGCGTCCGAGGACGGGAACTCAATTGAGTGCTACGCCAACCTCGACGCGTGGATGTGAATTGGGCAGGGCATTACCATGCAGAGGGTTGCATGCGTTGTTTAGGTCTGACCTAGGTCTGTGCCCTCTCTTAGCGCCAGAGGTTTCTCCGCTTGGTTGTTATCGTAATACTTGTCTTTCTCGGACTGGACTATCTGGACTGTCCCCTTGTGATCTTTGTATCTTGGGCTTGGTACTGGTCGGCAAATCTGGGTCCTCTCAATGTTCTTTGGTAATCGGTTAGCTTGGAACATAGCTCGATGCTGTAGTATCAATGTATGTTACCGTCCCTTACATGTACTCGTCATATGCTGATCCCATTCAGTCAGGTTCACAGAGAATCGTTGGCTTCGAAGCTTCGTTTCCTTGTGCAACTATCATACTTTCTTAAGGGCATCTTCCCTTCCGCTCCACAATATGATTGCGCTCGCGTTTGACGTTTGGACTGCACCCGAGACTGAGTCTGCGAACACCTGAGCTTCGCCGCTGCCGGTGTTAGACACTGGTGGGTATGCTGCTCTTGTTCACCGTGCCCGGTCATGTATGCTGACTCCACGCTTGCCAAAGATTCGCCAGGGCGGCGATACGTTCTGTGGTATCACTGCGACCTAAGCAATCATATTAATCTCAACCGAACAGTTTAAGGCCGCCGTACTCATCTATGAGCTTCATTCAACGAGTGACGACGGTGAGAGCAGATAGGAGGATGAAACCGTAATCTTGCGGATCGAGAGGTGAATGAAATTGACGAGAGTACTCGGTGACCTGCTGATGTGTGCTCTTCAGGCTACACCACTTGCCTACATCTTGGCTATGAATAGCACCGGGGTTGAGTACTGACAGCGCGTCTACTTGTTCGAGGCCGTCGGACTGTGAGAGCGCATCATCCTGAGTAGCACCATAAACCTGTGCAATGCAGTAGAGAGCTTCAGCGTGTCTTGTTAGATATGGAAGTATGAGACACATGACCTTGCGGGGAAACTCTTCCGTTCCTCGTCCATCAAGAGAAGGCGGAAGGCTGCAATACGTCATCCTAGGTCGGTGCGTTTCGCATTCAACGCGACTCACTTGCTGGTTTGCCACTGATCCACTCTATGTGGAACAGACTGACAGGAGGACACCGTGGAGTCGCTTGATATAAAGTTGGACCGCCAAGGGGGGTGTCTCTCCGAATCCGCTCGCAAGATGACTACACCCCAGCTTTTCGACGAGTACGATATCATATTTGCGGGAGGTGCGTCGAACCTTAACCGTCGACCTAGGGTACTAATGTCCCTACGCATGCAGGTGGCACTGCTGCTGGTGTCATCGTTGGACGACTGGCTGCGGCGGACCCGTCTCTGCGTATTCTCATCCTTGAGATCGGGCCAACCGTCCGAGACAATCTCGCCCATATCCAGCCGGGTCGCTTTCTGACACATCTGTTGCCCGAGTCCCAGACCGTCAAGCACGTTATCGGCAAGCCAAGCGAGCATCTGAATGGTCGTCAGCTCTCGACCCAGTGCGGGCAGTGCGTTGGGGGTGGCTCCAGCGTCAACTGTAAGTCACAGTCCGGACGTTGAGACATCTACGCTCTGACGCACTCCCTGCGAAGTCATGAAGTACACGCGTGCGCCTGCCTCCGACTATGACGACTGGGCGCATCTGTATAATAACCCTGGCTGGAGCTTCCACGAGCTGCTCTCCTTTATCAAGAAGGTGCGTAGATTGTCCGGCGCGCCTTCCGATAACGTTCAAGGTTCTCATTGGCTTGCAGGTAGAAACGTACCAGAATGTGCCCAATAGACCTACACATGGATATGATGGACCTCTCAAAGTCTCGTATGGCGGTGCTCTCACCAGCGTAGGGACCGACTTCGTTGAGACTGTGCTGCGCTATGACCGGACTCGCACAGCTGTCGACGATGCGAACAGCATGGTGCAAGACGTGAATCGTATCGAGGTGCATCGCGGTATTCTATTGACGCATGACTTGATGTTGACATACGAGTCCAACGCGCCTGCTTTCGCAGCCCTGGCCCAAGTGGATCGACGGGAAGACCGGCCGTCGGTCCGATGTGGCGCATCACTACATTTATCCAGCTCTCGACAAGTCAAAAAACGTGCACCTCCTCCCTGGATGCGCGGTGAAGAGAGTCGTTATAGAGTATGCGCCGGCACCTTCCAGTTCTTTCCCGTGACTGATGATCGACGTTCGTAGAGAAGGGAAAGCGACAGGAGTAGAGTTCTTGCACAACATTCTTTTGTCGTCGGACGCTGATACGACACCGCGCATTGTACGCGCGAGCAAGCTTGTCGTTATCTCTGCTGGAACATTTGGTTCCCCTGGGATCCTGGAACGATCCGGGATAGGCTCCAAAGATATATTGGACCGCAACAGTATCAAGCAAGTGGTGGATTTGCCTGGAGTCGGAGAGAATTACAATGGTCGGTTTGCCACGTTACATCGATTTTCATATGCTTATGTCCTTGATAGATCATCCACTAATATTTGTGCCCTTCCATGCAAAGCAGGATGCGGATACCCTTGATGGCATCGTGCGGGGTGATGCCGATGAACTTGAAAGTGCGCAACGTTCGTTTAAATTCTCTTGGCGCATCTCTAGATGTTCTACCTTAGAGTGGTCGGCCCAATGGCAACAAAATGGTCAAGGCCTTATGGCAACGAAGTGAGTGGCTTTCTTGCCTTTATGTGTCCCCATGTGCTGAAGCTAGCACGTCCCAGCGGCCTAGATGGCGGATACAAATTCAGACCATCTGAGAAAGAATTGCGGACGATCGGTCCAGAGTTCGCAGAACGATGGGCGTCGTATTACGCTAGCACACCAGACCGCCCAATCATGTGGGCTGGTCAGATATCTCAGTGAGGACCCCTGGCAAAGCCTTGCTACCTATATCTGATTACTTGTACAGGTACGTCGGACTCTCGCCTCCGGCAGCCAACCACAAAGCATTTTGCACGGGCGTATATTCTACGCACCCCGTCGGCACGGGATCCGTGCACATTACTTCTGCTCATGATGTCCACTCACCTGTTGATTTCGATACGGGCGTGCTTAGTCGGTACGTGTCCTGCATTGCGATGGCTACAGGAACAAACCTGATCATCGCGCACGCAGGAAAGAGGACCTGGCGGTAATGCGATACGCTTGGAAGCTTGCCAGGGAGTATGGTCGACGCATGTCTTCATACAGAGGCGAATACGCTCCCGATCACCCCACGTTTCCACAAGACAGTGAGGCAGCTGTGTCGCAGGACCATAATACTCCAGTCGCTATCGACGCTCCGGACATCGTGTATACTAAGGAGGATGACGAGGCGATCGACGACTTCCTGAAGGCTAGAAGTGAGTTTGTTGTCTGACTGGTCTGCAATGGGATATACCATCTCAGATGTGCTGTAGTCATAACAGCATGGCATTCGGTGCGTCTCTGCCCCCCCAGAGGATGAGGAGCGTTGAAATCTCAATCGTTGGATCCAGCTTGGAACTTGCGCCATGAAGCCACGCGATCAGTTTGGTGTCGTCAATTCGCGCCTCACCGTCTATGGCGTTCAAAATCTCAAAGTCGCCGACATGTCTATATGTCCCTCAAACGTTGCGACGGTACGTTCACAAACTCTTCCCATATACTTACAGAGATCAAGACGCTTCACTTCAATACTAGAACACCTACTCCACGGCTGTCATGATAGGCGAAAAGGCAGCTGCCATCATTGCAGAAGATCTTGGTCTTGCGGAGGTATAATGACTCCTACTGTCCTTCCGGGTTGTGTCCTGTGCACCGCGATATAAGTCAGTGATTGTGTCTTCCTTGGTCCATGTTATCGATATATATCAGTCCTTCGGTATAACGCGAGCAAGTGGAGCGCCGGACACAAGTTATATCCGATATATCCCTTACAGGATTCTTTCACGACGGAGTCCAGACGTTGTCTCATACCAGTTAGAGCGTTGCGCGACATACATGGGAGAAATGTGTTCCTAGGCCAAGACCTCAGGGGTATGAAAGTTCGACCTCTTCCTCTCTGTCGTCTCAGGAAACTGAAGATGTTCACCATGGATACTCCCGCACTGATTCCGGCGAGATGTGAGATCTCAGGTGGGCCATCTCAGTGCACGACGGTGCACTGGGCCTGGTAGTACAGCCTCCCCTGGATGACATCGGCCGGTGCCATGCCCACCCAGATTAGCGCTCCTCATAAGCGCTCACCAAGTATGACTCCCGGACCGCTGCTCAGGCCTTTAAGCTCAAGCTTCATGCATTCATGTGTCATGCTTGGAGCCTGTAAGTCAGACTACATTCAACCTGAAGCGGGTACACACTTTTGAAGATAAAAAGGACACTGTGAGTCTCTGGAAACCCAATAAGAGCCTATATGCCGGGGCCGCGGAGGGCAGTGATTCAGCGGAGGCACACCCAGGTACGCGTTGGTACTCTGCTGCTCAGCCCTCAATCTGCGATGAGTCTGTGAATCTGCGGAACGATGTAGATGTGCTATACGCTAACACCCTCTTTCTCGGTAGACTCACCAAGCGAACTCTGGCTTGAGATCATCGACTTGATTTCCAACCGCAGCGCTCTATGTCGGCTCATGCAGGAAAACCGCAAGCTTTGCGCATTGACAGAAGGCGTCCTGTATGGCAACGTCAGCCTTCATTGGGGCGCTGAAGTGACAAAGTTTCAATTGTCGATGAGGTCTTGCCCTCGCCGCGCGGACACGGTCGCCAGTATCAGCTTCCTGGCGAGTGGGACACATGACGAGCTCATATTTGACATCCTCCCCTCTCTGCTGGGTACTCTTCGCAATCTGCAACATCTCGTCGTCGAGCAGAATAGAGAAGTCGTCATCGGGGCCCCTTTCACAGCGATAGCCGGAGTGCGCCTCCCCCTGCTTCGTAGTTTTGCAGCAGACATGCGCGTCAACCAGAAGGATCTCCTGGCCTTTGTTGTCGCCCATGGCAGGTTGCGAGAAATCGACATGCGCTATAGTTACATATTTCCGGACGATCCTGAACATGTTCAAGTCATCCCCCACCCTTCCCTCCAGATTCTCACATGCCGTACTCCGTTATTGAGCAGCCAAACGCCAGTCCCTACCAACCTCACCCACTTATACAGGCCTTACCTTCTATCTAGGCAACTTCCCGGGATCGTTGCTCTTCTTGGTCCTCAGCTGTTAGCTTGAGGGTGGGGGAGTGTTTCCCAATCGAGCGCAGCTCGCCTTGGTCTCTGCTGGACGTTGTCACTAATTTCCCTCGTCTTCGCTTCTTTCACGTGGAAATGTTGCACGTAGGTGTATTTATCGTGAGTCAGTGGCCTAGTACGATGGTGGCTGATCGGACTTGGGGTCAATAGACGACCCTACCCTCTCTAGGCACAACGTTGGTGGACTGGTTCCGAGACCGACAAGCAAGTCGGGTCCTCGGTGCGCGCCCCAAGATGGCACTTGCGTGGACCAACAAGCAGCAATTTCCCCGCACGGAGAAAGAGGAAATTGAATGGGACCAATACGTGGACAAAGTCGCGGTGCGAGTTCTGACGGAATGGGACAACTACATCGAGCGGATCATTTACAGGCACAGTGCGCGGCCTTACATTTACGGTGACTCTCGATGCGGCAGGCGGGATGGGAGGGCAGCTTTTGAAAGCTCAGGATACAGATATGCAGGATGACTACTGGAAGCATGTATGGTACGTACCATCTTATTGCAGTGGGCTTGCCGGCCAGTTCGGCTGTAGCTGCTCATAAAGGAGGATTGACGAAAGTGGGTTGCCATCGTCTAGGAAGGTATTTGGCGGGCAATCTCATTGCAATTGCTAATTAGTCTGACACCCCCAACACTCATACACTGTGTCCCTCGACTGCGCATTAGACGGGAAGCTCCGCAAGATTGAAGAATGATCCAGTTCGTGACACAAGGCGACCAGGACAGGACAAGCGATTCTCCATGACCTGAAGCGGTTCCACATCCACGAACACGTAACCGAATTGCTATCTCATGAAAGCCGGGAGGGTTGAGAGAAAGATTGAACACAACCCGGCGGCTCGGATTGCAAACAATATCAACCAATTTTCGTCGCAAACGGCTAGCTTGGACCGGGACGGTGTTCGGGAGCAAGCTCGCCGTCACCTCAAGCTCAGGAGCGGCGATGATTCCTATCGCCTGAAGATATAACCATCTACAGCCCAACTACCCGGGCATCGGCGCTCAGGCGCAGCGGCACATACAGTTTACGAACGCGGCAGCCTGGAGGTTGCCTTGGAGTGCAGGTCCGCGACCGCATGCAACAATGAAGGCGGCATGCGGGATACGCGATAACGCTACGTTCCCGCGACCTCAGTATGTAGTACCCATTCCAGAACCGGTGCGTGCAGAAGGTTCGCGAAGAGATCCGCGCAGCAAGGCGACGACACAGGCGCCATTATGCCGCATCGCCGCGCCGTTCGTGTCGTCATGCGGTATAGCAACGGGATAGATCAGCGGATGGGTAGCTCCCCACTGAATTCGGGCGATTGCTCTGCCTCGGGATAGAGGACAGGTGATGACACAAGTCCTCGGAAATGGTTCGCCTTCTGCTGGCTTCCTTCGCTTCTGGACATGGTCCAGCAACGGCAGCGGGAACACGCCTGACGCAGACATGCGGCGGGAACGTTGCATTGTCGGAACACCGTAACGCATATCAACCTGCTGAATGACTACTGTGCTGTGAAGGAGAAATCGATACTCACAGGCTAGTAAGAATGCTGACGATAGTGGGAGCGCAGCAGATTCCTTGGAAACCGCGCGGAACAGACTGGAGGCAAGGTTTAGGGTTGCTCACGTCGCCGAAGTGGTTCAACAGATTTCGAGGGCCTGTTCAATTGACGGTGCGTTCGACGAACGAGGAAGAAGTGGGACTAGGTGAGAAGGTGTCTTCAATAGGGAGCGGCCGAGAACACCTGCAGGGTCGTGTGGACGCGTGTAGGCGGTGATAACCCTTTGGAACCACCCTCGAACGAAGAGCGATGCTTGAAGGGAATGGGTGCTTCCTCAGTAAAGCTACCGAATGTTACACTTCGAATTCTCGCAGAATCCAGGGTGTTGTACGATTGACCTTGGCTGCATGATGGACGAGCCGAGCCGAGAGCGCGAAAGGACATTTCTAGAACGTGTGTGCGATCAGATAGAGAGCGACGAGGCTTCACGGAGTTTATTTCCCACAGCCTGGGCAACAGTGGACGACGTCGTGCACAAACACGTCGCAGTCCGCACAGAAGTCGCTATGACACTCCAAACAACGGTATCGACCATAGGGACTCATGCCCTCGCCAGACGCGCCCAACATGGTCGAAGGCGTCTCCTTGAACGCAACGGCGCACCCGTGACATCGCTTGCTCGGTTCCGGGGTATCGTCCAGTGTCGTCCTACACGGAACATGAGTGCTGCGTCGCGGATGAAGAGGAACGGACGGTGCCGATGCGCGGGGCAGATGAACAGGCAGTTTACTTACACGGCGGAGTAAGATTTCACTGGAAACAGGTGGTGGTAGCTTCGCGCAAGGTGCGGCGAGCTCACGATCATTAGTCCACAGATATCGCAATCCGTCGGGACGTCGCACACTTTCGCAAGGCAGCGTGGGCATAGGAAGCCCTCGCTCTTCATCTGCGAGTGGCATACGCAGAGCGAGGGTGGGGACGTATCTGGGAGTCGCATCGGGAAGCCCATGATCATCAGGTCCGCGGCCGTGCCGCCTCCTGTGCGCGCTACCGCGCGTTGAGCTGGGGGCGGGATAAGCTCGAATAGGAGGTCTTTAAAGTGGCCCTCGTTCATCGCAACACCGAACTGACCTGTTTGCGCGCACCAGTCAGTCGTCCGTCAAGGGAACCCGAGGGGCACTATGAGTGGGCGGACGACGCACCGCCTGTTTTATCGCAGAGCTCTCGGCATACTTTCATCTCCGCCGCAAGAGCGACTATAGATATGCGGATGCGGTCTTTCACGCACTCGTCGAGCGTATCGTGTATGTTTCCAGGGTCGCATGTTGTGAGAGACCCGAAGATGACAACGATCTCTCTGGAAGACTGCGTCGGCAAATGGCTCATACTGCTTCGCGCCATCTCGACAGCGTTTTGTAGACTTGGTTCGCCATTAGGCAGAAGCTTATGACGCTCCAGTATCGCTTTCAGGACATCTTGAGGGTTCCCTATAGTGCATATCCCGCATGTTCAGACAGCAATTGTAACGCATATAGTCGCAGGGCGTACCAGACATCTCGCCTATTCGCTCCCCGAGCCCTCCTCTCATCCCTACAATACCTATTTGGCCCAGAGGGTTCTGATCGAACCATTCCGTAACGAACTCGCGGGCGTACTGAAGCATGAGATCAAACCGCGTAGGGCGCATGTCGCGGTCCATCATTGCTGATGATAAGTCGAGCACAAGTACAAGGTGACGGATTATTGTACGTCGGATGGCTGCAGCAGGTGCAAGAAGCCTGAAATACTCGTTAGGCGGCCCGACGTCTAACGAGATACGTGCAATGCAGTCGACGTACCGCCTCCTTCGACCTCGAGCGATCAAATTCTGCACTGCACCCTCCAGCCTCCCCGCTTCATCTTCTTGTACCGTGTCCCATGAACGGGTGTACGTTGCTTCCCAAGCATACGCTTGCTAACGACCGCGCAAAGTATGAGTTAGCAGCTCGGACGACAGTCGATCGGGTGCATTATAACAACGGTGAGAGGGCAGATTAGCGAGATGACATCTCTGCACGGGAATTTGTACTCCACAGTCGGAGATAGTGTCTGACGAGAGAGAGCTCACATCTTTTGCTTTCCCTTTCCCCTTATCCTTCTTCTTCCTGTCAATGGCCTTTGCCCTCCCCTTTGCTTTAGAGCGAGTTGTATCGTCGTCTAGTCCAGTGATGGAAACATCCGAGTCTGAGTCGTCCACGAAGTCATCTCCGATACGTCTTCCAGCAGGCGGCATGGATATTCAAGACCGCGGCGCGCCTCGCACACACAGCGGAAAGCCGTCACAATTCGAGGGCGAGAGGAGAGAGAGAGCCAGCTGCCAGAGAGCGCCGGATCCGACCGACGCGTGTCTCCCGGCCCGGACCGCCTTCACGGGCGTTCAATCGTAGTCCTCAGGAGCGTTCTCAGCGTTCATATGTAAGTACTTACTCGCGGGCATCCGCACCTGTCCACTTTCCAGGAACGTGGCTCTACTCGAGCATCCTCACACTGTATCGATGATTCTTGATCTTTGAAGCTTTCTTGCCGTCATGAACCAAGGAGATGGTTGAACAAAGGACCCGGACGCGGTGGCAGTCCTAGAAACTCAGTTTGCTCCCTGCGCCCGATCGACGACGCCCGCGATTGGTTGTGGGCATCTGTGGGCGGCCACCTTCACTTTCTTCTATCCGGATTCAGCAGCCGCGTCGCCTCATTCAGCCTCTTACTTCCCTGGACGCCGAGAGGATGTCACCACTCTCGCTCCATGACACCACGTCCTCCCAGTATATCAGCCCAGCGCAGACCAACACGTCCACCTCGTTTTCCTCTCCTTCACCAAACGCTCTTGAACCATCTTCCATCTCACCGTCATGCCCACGGATCTGCAGTTCAGGGGTTATGCCCTCGTCGGTGAGGAATGTTCGTCTTTCGTACCCAAGCCTGCACTCACTTTTCACCAATCAGACCCGAGCAAATGGACAGACCTCCAAGTCCGCGAATTCAAGCCCAAAAACTTTCAGCCTGACGACGTCGAGATCGCCGTCACCCATTGCGGTGTGTGCGGTTCCGATGTGCATACCCTCACTCGGGGTTGGGGCGAGTCCAAGCTCCCTCTCGTCGTGGGCCACGAGATTGTCGGCACCGTCACCCGCGTAGGCGAAAATGTCAAGGACTTCAAGCTCGGTGACAGGGCCGGGGTGGGTGCCCAACGTGGCAGCTGCATGTCATGCCGAGCCTGCAAGGACGGCTACGAGAACTACTGTCCTAACGGTATCGAGACATACGTACGAGTTATGCATATGAGATATCGAGTTGGAACTGACTATATGCGCCTAGAATTCAGAATATCCCGATGGCGTTGTCGCCCAGGGAGGTTATTCGACTGGCATCCGCGCCCACCAGCAGTTCGTCTTCCCGATCCCAGACGAGATCGAGTCCCGTGACGTCGCATCCATGTTGTGCGCGGGGCTCACTGTCTACTCGCCCCTCAAGACCCACGGGTGCGGCCCCGGGAAGAAGGTTGGCATCATGGGCATTGGCGGACTTGGACACTACGCCATCCTTTGGGCGAAGGCTATGGGCGCCGAGGTTTATGCGCTCACGCACGACCAGGGCAAGATTGACGACATCAAGCAGATGGGTGCTGACCACGTCATCAACACTGAGAAGAAGGTTGGTGCAAGTACGTTCGCCTTACAGAGGTCGAAACACTAATGTCACGTGGTCGCTTGTTTTCAGGACTTCTGGAAGGAATATCCACAAACGCTAGACATTCTCCTCTCCACCAGAGACGTTCACGGTGAGAAGATGCCACTCGGTGATTGGCTCTCTATGCTGTACGTCCACGGTCGCTTCATTACCGTGGGTTTGCCCGACATGGACGACCCGCTTCCTGGGATCCATGCGATGAGATTCGCCGCGAACGGCTGCATGCTAGGAGGGAGCAAGATTGGCAGTAAGCAGGATTGCTTGGAAATGCTAGAGCTTGCGCGGTCGAAGAAGATCAAGCCGTGGGTCGAGGAGATGCCCATGAAGAAAGCTGGAACGGCGCTGCAGAATGTGAAGGACAACAAGGTCAGGTACCGCTATGTGCTTACGCAGGACCTCGTTTGAACAGCGTATGTTACGAGATTGGTGAGTCCGGTTTTTCTGCCGATTGTATATTCATCAGCCTCTGACTATCCCCGCAAATACCCAACGATCATCCAATAGAGTTGTTGTATAGTACTATCATGAATAGGCATGTATGCACGCTGTTGGGTGGGCGCAAAGTGCATATCAACTGTCGTCAAGTTCAGTAGGAGATCCTTCCAAGGCATCTCTAGAATACCGCACGTGAACACGTGCACTTAGGGCACGTCATACACGATGTTGCGCGACCTCGTCACACTGACTCAACAGTATCTATTTCTCAACTCTTACAGCCATCCCATCGAGTTCACGGTAGGCCACCATGATTCCACACGGACTTAACTTATCCTTATTTGTGGAGTCGCCCTCTCTGCGATACCCCTCGACGTTGCTCGCAGTGTGCCCGAGCCTGCGCCCTCAACCCGAGAAACTCACCGTCTTCATCTCCGTCACGGATCTGCAGCCGTCAAGCCTCAGGCAGATAACTCTTCTAACAACTATGCCGTACGCGTCGTGACTAGTGATCGAAACCATATCTCTGCCCAGGACCTTGCCCGCAGAGGCGTGGAAGTCGTCGAAGGTTGCAGCATTCCATAGCTCATCTTTGTAGAACGTTCAGCTCTTTTGCAAAACATGGGACTCGCGCAACCTTGCTAGCATTGCTCCGGCTCTCACGAATGCTTACCATTCCGGAGGCCAGAAGGTCGCGTACCTTCAGACACTACGTCTGGAGCAGCCCAGGCAACGTTTCCAAGGTTCGAGTGGCCTCGTTTCGTTCGACAGCAGTCATTGATCAGGAGTTTCGATCAGCGAAGTAGAGGAAGGATTACGACTCGGGTGCAATGGTGAGCATTATGCCGCCAAACTGTGAGTGACAGACTGGACGCGGGCGCAGTGATTCCGTCGCTGTCGCTGGAGGAGGTCCGGCTATCGTGGAGGTCCGTGCATAGACATGCGCAACATGGTGCGCGCATTCCCATAGACTTCTCTGCTTCTGAGATGCAGATGTGCTGACTTCGACGTCGGCCTGGTGGGTTCACAACTTCTTAGGACCTCGACCGATACGAGGGCAACACGTTCGTCTCCGCGACCCCAATGGGGCGCGGGCACTTGCCCATGATCGCGCTTCTTCGCGCTTCACACGTGAGACAATCGCAACACCATGTCGGCTCAGGTGCTCGAGAGCGCGAGTAAGTAGTACGTCGATTGGCCGAGCCTCGATGACGCATTCGGGAAGACGACGGGGAACACGGCCGAGTACGAAGCGCTCACCGCAGAGCTACTTAGATCGATGTGTTCATCGGACGAAACGAGGCCCTCCGCCAATGATCTCTGCCAGTGGTACTTGTACCCGCCGGTGTGCTGGCGGTAGATATTCAAGGCTACTGAGCGTGAAGGATTGAATGTGAAACACGGATGTGGGTGGATTGAAGCGGCCGCTGGTATAGAATGGTAGGAGGCGCTTCGTCCCGAACTGGTAGGGGATTCATCGTTTACAGAGCTCATTGGTCTCATGACATCACTGCGTGAGTAACGAGAAGAAGAAGAGGTAGGGGATTCACCATCTCTATTGCTATCCACGTATAGTGCTCGCGTGCAGGCGGACGATATTTCCGGGCCTGAGCCACGAACCAACCCCCAAACCGACTACTCGGATGAACAGTGAGCATTGTTTTGCTAAATTTCACCACTTGACTGATAACAGGGAAGAGAAGGGAGTACCTCCTGGTTCTACTACTCCCAGGTGCCTTGAGTGAAGGCCAGTCGCGATCAAGAGATACATGTGCGTCGAGAGAGTCCGATGTGGCTGCGGCCGTAGTGTAGCCATACGCATTAATGGTGCGCCACGAAGATGAAGGTCATCGTAGATCACTCTGGATGGCGCCGAGAGGATACAGTGAATAGCTAGCTCTGCTCGGTTCCGCGAACTTCGCGAACGAAGCGCCTGCCTGATCAGGATTAAAGAACAGGAGGGGCAATTTTGCGCCAGAAAAGAGGCGGCTTATAGATAGCACAAGAGGGCACCGGACTGCAGGTTACGTCAGACCAGACATCGTCCAGTACACGTTCGACTCCTTGCCGCGTCTCGCGGTGAGAAGCAACTCGTTTCCCTTTCCTCACTGACACCGACGGAACGCTGGAACGCTGCGACGCTGTCGGCGATAGCAGCTCGGGCCTGGACTCACTGCTATGAGGACACCTGAATGCGCAACGCAAACTGCACGTCCACACCGTGTTTGCCCATCGAACTGTGTTTCAGAATCATGCGTACGGAGCGCATGACTGGGTCGAAAACTTGAGATGAGAGCTTCGGGGCCAAGCCTCACCTGATATCCACCAAACCCTCATTGAACAAGTATCGAAGAGACTTGTTTAATGACGGATGCCGCTCTCGGACTGAAGTTCCGCGTGCAGACGTAGTACTTACTACTCATGGATTCTATGTCAGCGCTCGCGTGCCGGGCCGGTATACGTTACAGGTCCCGTGGTGGTGAACAAGCGACCTTCGAGGACGCGAAAATGTATGGTTTGAGAACCGAAGCCACCCAAGCATTCCACTTATCGAACCGTATGGCGAAGATCGTCGTCCCCTCGCCATCGGTTCTAGCTTCCTCCCGGAGGCGAGAGTGTGGCGCACTAGTGATTCACAATGGCCGAGATTCGCAGACCCTCGGAAACGCTGATCACGTCATCCAAGCGCGCAAGTCGTAGGAGCTTTAGAATGGACAGATCTGCGGTGTATGGGGCGCAGGATACAAATACAGTGCATAACGACTACACACGAGTGTGGGGGTCACGAGAGCAACTAGGAGTCAAGCGGAAACGGAGGCATACTGCGCAGAAAGCGACCGAAAGCTACACAAGATGGACAGGGAGAGAGACCCGTAGCGTTGATGCGCCCTGAAGGACGAAGGAAGAGACGCGAGGGTAAGACGGACGAGTCAGTAAGGCTATTCGGTACATTGCGCGGCAGTTCTGTCCCGCGCAGAGAGTTCTAGAAGAAACAAACTTACACGGGAGAGTTTGGGCTCCTGGGAGCTGAGAAGGCGCAACTCAGCACACTAGGATGCACGAGCATGCAACTCGAGTACACACGTACGATATGCAACTAATCGGCATTGCCATCTCCCTCGCCATCTGCGCCCGGCGGCCCGATCCATGGCGTGGGGTCGGCGACCATCTCAGCGTACTGGGCGTCCGTGATTTTGCAAAAGCGAATTGTGCCATCCTTAAACCCGCGTAGGAGCAGCTCCAGCTTGGGTAGATTGGAGACATCGCTGAGGTTCCTGAAGGGAACGTCGCCGAGGGGCCACCCTTCGATGCGGACGCGGTAGCGAGTAACGATGTTCTTCATGTACGACTTCCTGCTCCACGACATGCTCGCGTCCCTGTCGCCAGTGATAGCGCCTAAGATACACAGCGTTAACAATAGCATCGTCGGGAGAAGCGGGTACGGCGCCATGGGATTCGATGAGGACGACCACCCACATAGCTGATCTTTGATAATCTTGCGCAACTCCCCGCGCGCGTCCGTCATGCGCTCGCTGTACGTCGGCCTAGCGTTCAGGCGGAAGGTGATCATCTGCGCCATTTCGTGCGGGGTGGAGAGCGGAGTTGAGTTGCAAAGAGCGAGGGAGGGGTTGCCGATGTGATCCCCGCACGCAGAGACCCAAGCCTTATACAAGCGGACGCGCGCGTGCGCATCCATCTCTCATCCCATCACACCCACAGAACGATGCCCATAAGCAGAGGGCGGAATACTGCTCCGGCATCGCGGCCGCGAACGAGGCGAGAGCGAAGCGATGAGAGTCTGTTCCCTTGCGGTTACAGCTTGCACACCTCTGCGCACCGCACCGCGATCGGCAACCGCACACCCCGTTCCGTCCGTCTCGACTTGTGGGAACACGCCGCGGTGGCCCAGCGACGAAACTTATGGGGGAGAAAGTTTGTCACCTGTCTCCGACTTCCGCTTCGATCATGCGTTGCCCTGGCCGCCCGCGCGCCGCGCGGAAATGCGCAAATCGACAGAAGATTTCTGCCACGGCCTGCGAGGGGAGGGAAGAGGAAGAGGAATGTAGAAGTGGCTGGCTCTAGGCACATCTAGCTCGGAACATCGGCCGCAGGACAGACCCCGACGACCTGCACTACTGCTTGCATCGTGGTGGCGCAAGACGCGTTCGCAGGTCTGTGCATCTGATAACGAGTCAGCCTGTCCATACTCTGACTTCCGTACCGGGAATTTGGCGGCCGCGAGTCCACGCAGCGCGAGGAGTAGCTCTGCGTCCTAGGGCAGGCAATCTAGTCAGGTGTACGTGTAGCTAGCGACGGGCTGTGAGCGACCCTGAATGCTCATGCTGAAGACGCAGACAAGTTGGAGCACCCACCGACTTCCGCCCGGACGATGATGGATTAAGATAATACTTGGTAGTGATTTTCTCCTTTAAAGGCATGTCCGTAGACCTTGTCCCCAACACGCGGTATCTGTAGCCTAGACATGCGTCAGCTGCTTCAGACTGCTCCAGACCTTGGAACGACTAGCGACAAAAATGTACCATCCCATGGGATCTGAGTGGACAGGCAGCCGTCAAGAACGATGACTGTTCTGTATATGGGTACCCACCAGGCGCATGCGGAAGCGCGCGTCTCGGTCTTCAGATTCCGATCTAGCCTGTTCACAAGGTTTACCTCTGCAAATGGTTCGCCAAAGCGTCCGTGGACGAACTATGAAAGCGACGAAAGGACACTGGGAAAGCTCCGTGCATTCAATTGAGTAGTGTCAGGAACCTCGGCATCAGTGCAATGCCCCCGGAACTGGCCAGAGACATCTTAGGGCTTGGCTAACGGACACAAAGCGCAACAGCGTGTCGTTCCAGGCGTAACCAGCCCACTCAAGGGATCCCAAAGCCCAAGACTATCGAAAAGCCGAACAACACGCTGACGAAAAAGCGGTCAAAGCAGACGCTTCACCTGATAAAGGGGACTCAAGTCGCTGATATATACTAGATCAGCTACATCTGAAGCGAGCTCGAGGATTAGAGATAGTGGGCTCGTACCTGGTAGACTTTATCATCAACCTCACGAGACCACCGTAGTTGCTTGGTGTCTGGAGTAACGAGTATCCTCGGGGGACGCGTAACGAGATACTCAAGGACCGCGATGCATCACAATGGGTACTATATCAAGTACCTGATCAGGCGATGGCAAATTGCTCAATGACTATGAGATACATGGTGAGCAACCAAGAGGTCTCGACGTCGTAGGGCATGACCCTGAGCCGCTATTTCAGTAAGACGTTGGACTTACCTGATCCTCGCGCAATGATAGCGGCGTGCGCTGAGGCCTCTCCGTCAGAAAGTAGATGAGGCATGTCTAGACCTAACTAGAAAGCCTGCCCTATTGATGGTCGTAGGCGTCTTTGGTCCGTGGAGGTCCGTGGAGAGCTCGCCAAGCCAAACCATCCCGCGAAACGTTGAGGACTAGGGGTCGGAATGAGACTCGTGGGCTTGATCCTTCTGCGCCAGTCACGGCCATGTCAATAGCTTGAAGTTCCTCGGTAATTGTTGCGTCTGGGAAGAGTTTGTCCCAAATCCATGACATGCGACATGACCGTGGCGCGAATGCCGTTGGCAGAGGGTGCGTTCTCCCAAGTCATTAAGGGCGTTGCGAGGCATAAAGGCATAGTTGCACCCATTACCTGGGAGAAGTTGGGTATGTCAATGCACACAATATGAATAGCAGATACCGGATGAGGTCAGGCAGAAGCTGTGCAGACACTCACATGCGAGGAGGATGGCTTTTGGGGCGCCCTCGGACTTGGAAAACCTGCGACCTTCGGCATCATGATGCAATGTGGCCAGTGGCACCGGAAACGGTGGCTGTTTGTAAAAGATCCGCAGTGTATCGCACTAAGACACATAGAAAATCGTAAGCTCATCTGTATGCAACCCGCTAACGAGGAGGCACAATGCTAAGAGCGTCCGAGGCATTGACCTTCTGTACCAGTCACTGAACGTTTTGATATCCCTCTGCATGGGGATCGGAGGCGCGGTCTAATCCTGCCCGGATGGGTTGAGAATTTATGTGATGACAGTGTGCGAACACACTCAGCCACTAGCATCGTTGAGCCCTTACGAAGTCTATAACTTAGAAGACATGAGTGCTCTTCGAATGACTTGAGTTATAAGCATAGGGCTCACTCAATATTGGAGTGGCTAAATACGCATGAGGCAAGCAGGTTCACGGTGGTCGCCAAGGGACAGAGTCTGTGCTGGCTCAAGCAGGAGTCCCAATTGGCAGAGGTCCCAGTGAACCGGTTCGATTCAGATCGGGAAGAAGCTACTCGCCAGGTTCGAGCAAGACTGACGGTTCAGAACAATTCTCATTTCCTGCTGGTGTGAAACCCAGCGTCACACTCCCGCGGCCCGCCCGGCCACTTGTGCTCGGATCAGCGGCAAGCCCCTGCCGAGCGCCGCAGGTCCGCCCTCGGGCCACCTCCCACCTCGGGGACAAGCTGCACAAAATGTGCCCCACCTACTTAGCGTCATGCGGCTTCTTGAGCCACAGCATACTAGATCTCTTGCCTGGCATGTTCCCGAGATATATGTTCGCTATGCTGAATATCTTCCAGTGGTGGAACAGAGTCGGGCAACGTCCTTGGTTGGACATTTTCGGTGATCCGAGCACACAACCGGCGCGGGAAATGCGACCCACTATCATAGGTTCTTCACGATCCTTGATGACGAACGCGCCCTTGCCAGTCCTGGTTCCATTTTCCTAGGTTGCTATAAGACGTCAGCTACATTCACTCCAATATCAATCAAAACTCGGGTTGGACCATCGTCGACCTTTTCTTTGATCTGAAGACGCTGTAACCTCTCGAACAGGTACAGTAACTCTCAAGCTGTCGATGTTCCATTCAACGCCACGGACCCGCAGCTCCAATCATGGACACCATTTACCGCTCTCGACACAGCTCTCGCCATCTCTATGTGAGTATACCTGCTCATTCATTCTGATTCCGCCGGTATTGATGTTTCCTTCCACCGTGGCCGAGCATCTCGGCGCGTCGCGGGTAGGGGATTGCGTCGCAGTCTCAGGCTAAGTAAGACCCTCAACGTTCTCGATGTTGATCTCACCTCAGCGAAGCAAGCCAAACCCCGTATCCGCCGATGAGTAATTTACTCGCGAAGATATGTCTTACGACATCCGCAGTTGACTCTGGTAACGCTGATACTTTGCCGCGCTGAGTCGACTAATCGCCATCGCGGCGGTTCAGACCAGAGATCAAAATCGGGCCAAGCGATGTGTATGGGGTCCGTCTGTACCTGGTGAGCCACCTAAAGCATTTTCATCTTCTTACGCGATTTTCACAATACCCAAGTCCGACATGGACAGCTCGCCCGTTTGTGTTTGACGAGGCTGGGATGGCCTTGTGACATAGGGACTTCTGTTCTTCTCGGATGCAGCCACAGTGTCTTCTTCTCCGTTGGCCCGAGCGTCCTCACAAGCCATTGGCGTTGTTAGGCAGTATTTGGAATATATGTCCCGACAATGTTGTCCTCAGCTACCGCCGTGTACGTACCGATATGCACATAGTGCAGTATGTGATGCATTCCTATTCACTTGCTGAATCCTGCATGTTCTAGACTGCCGGTCGTCAGTCCACTTGAGAACAGAAGGGGAATCGGCACCTATCAGCCTCGGCTTTCACATGCGAGCTGGCGAACGGGGGCCATAGTTCCCGTAGTTCTCTCAAGACGCTTTGGCCCATGGGTTTTCTGTTTATATCTTCCGTTGCTTCCTACTGTTCTCATCCAAACGCTAAGGCCCAACTACATAGTGCTGAGTAGGGGCGCAAGAGATGCTATAGTCGGCTATCCTTCTTGACAGCTCTCATGCATACAGTACACTACCTCATTATGTATGAAGTCATATCTAATGATGCATATCGCCGCAGAGGCCTCGGATGGGTACCAAACGGGCGCTTCACGCTCGATAGGCTGTCTTATAATGCATTATGTCCCATGATGCATACGGAAATGGGGGTACCGATCCTATGCATTATGAGGTAGTGTACTGTATTACAGTCGTTTGCATATCAAACTGCAGTCGACGCGCGCGCCGCGAGGCTGTTTGCTCGTGCTTGCAACGCCGCGAGCCAGCGTCTTCCTGCCTGTTTGGGACCGGCCTCCGTCAACTCACCTTTGGCCATCAAGTACAACAAGCACTTTCTGCATCGAAAACCAACCAGGCAATGCTAGGGACCATGTTAACTGCAGTATACACTAGCTACAATATTTCTGAGGGAGCTCATCCGTTTTCACCGAAGGTGTACCCCCCAGAGTGGCCGTCCTAGCCGGTACCCGACGGTGGGGCAAATACGAGCAAATAGTCTCGACGCGCGCGCGACACTGCAGTTTGATATGCAAACGACTGTAGTGTATCCGTGCGTGTCTCGGCAATTCATCATGGTGCCATCACAATGCTCATTTCCCTGCAGGCCTTTCCACATTCGTGGGAATCGTCCGCCAATGCCCTGCAAATTGGTTGCTTGGTACATCTTCGTACATGTCCTACTGACACCTATTAGACCCCTCTATCGCCTGCGCCAGATTTCAATCAAGTTGAGGCAAAGGGGCGAAGGTGTGAAGATCGCAATCGACGTACGTCAATCCTCGCCCTTGAGGGCGGTCTCGACCATGGTAGAGACAGAGGAAACACCGACACTCAAAGTCTCTCAACGAACGTGGTGATGGAATAGACGAATGTTCTTCGTTTGACGACCGATCAACTGACCAAGTTCGGAAGAGTATGACCGACAATGCCGCTTTTCCTCATTCAACAGGGGGTACGCTATCTATCACAGATACGTTGCGAGCTCCACATGAGGCTACCATCTATGTATCTTGATGCAAGTAAGGTGGAGGCCGGCGAAGAGCGACAAACAGTAGCGCCCTGCGGCTTTCTCATCTTCCGGCCGTACCGGTAACTCCGTGCTCTGATGTGCGGAACATGCATGCTAGCCCGTAGCCGAGGAACTTACACAATGCTGACGTATACGGACGCGATTCACTTGATCCACTCGATGTACTTCACAGACCCTGCTCGCCGGCGTACCTGACGCGACGGCGAAGTTTCCATAAGGTCCCCTCACTTAACTTTGGCATTCCAAGCTTCAAGCTTCAAGCCTTGTCACTCTCGCGGGAGCGGACTTTGCGTGCTACGTATGCCAAGTCCCAACTGATGCGCCGGAATCCGAGAAAGGCATTCCTGATTTTGATTGTAAGTACCCTTAGAGGGGTAGAGTGCCGCCGAGCGGCGCATCTAGCATATCCGCAGGCATCGCTCTCAGACATACTATGATACCGTTATCCCAACATTCTGACATTGCCGGTGAATAGTGGATGACTTTCCATAAGCTATCTACGGCTCTACGGACGTCCGTAAATCTCTAAACAGACCGATTTGGGCAAGGGGCAGTGTTGCCGACACCAGATCTGAACTCCGCTGAGGAAATTTAGGATACGGACGTCAAAATCTAGGAGGGGGGTCCGACTCCCCTTTCTAAATCTCTAACAGGCCGTAGACAGTCCGTAGACCTCGGCATACGGTGCCGTGACCACGAGAAAGGAAGGAGCCATCATGACAAAGCAAACTGCATGCCAAATACAGACATGACATAAGACACTCCAGTCACTTGCTGATGATGAGCAGAACATGCCGCCTGTTTAGCGCCCAAGATCCACAGACTGTTTCAAACCCCGCCTAGAAATCTACGGACGTCCGTAGAGCCGTAAATCCTTATGGAAAGTCGTCCAGTACTGTTCCCTGTCTCATCTTTCTCGCGGCGATCGTGCCTCACAGGAGATAGTCGACATCGCTAGCATGTCAGTACACTGCTGCCTTTGGCAAAACTGATGACGCAGACGCAAGTCCAGAACATATTCGGTTAGGTAGCCACTATGTTCTCGGACTAATGCTCGCAGTATGTCGTAATCGTCATACAAGCGTGGGCGTAATACTGCCGTCCTCCATTCTCTCGTGCTGAAATCACGACGATGGTGCCGCACCGGACTAACAGCATTCTACGTGGCGTACAGTGTTAAGCCCGCAGCCCCGGAATCAAGAAAAGGTTAGTCCCTTGGGGAGTGCTGTAGC